GAAACGGTTGTTTGGTTATTACTCGAAGACAATTATCATCGACGAACCACTGATCCGCCCAAAGTGAAGTGGACTTACCGTCCCCAATCCTCATCCAGGTATCCACTTTAAGGCAATTGCGAGCAGCTAAGATACTTCGCCACGTTACCGAGGGTCGGGAACCAATGCCTGCTGTGAAGGAATCAGAATTTGGAAAATATTTCGCCTTGAGAACTCTCACTAGGCCAAAATGCATTTCAGACGACATTTTTATGGTGATGAAAAAATATTCGTCACACGATTTACGACTATTTTATACAAAATCGTTGCAAATAATTGGAAATTATGAATTTATAGAAATTATTGCGACGATAATAGTTTCGTAGTAAAATATTATCGCACAATTAAGTGTTAATATTTCCCTCCAATATTTGCGACAAAAATGTAATTATCGTCGCAAACTTGTGTCAATAATATACTAATATGTCGCAATGGAAAATAAAAATTACAGTTTTTTTACCAAATATATATTGCGACGTTTATATTGAAAACGCCGCAAGTAGAATGGGGATTTTGCGAGTTATTTGCGACATTTTAATTTTAAGTTGCAAAATTAAGACGTTTGTATTTTAACTACATAACTTGTGCTCCGAGTATGTGCGATTTTCATTCCTCTTATAAATGCCTCATATTCTGCTTCGTTGCTCGAAATCCAATGTAACTTAATCGTAAATTTCAAGTTCAAATCCAATAAGGTCTATTATGAAAATACCAGCACCAGTGCACCACACCCCATTGTGGTGGAAGACCCATCAACATAGACCTTCCATTCATTGTCTATTGGTACCCGAATGGTCTCTTTTACAAAGTTGACCAATGCTTGTCCTTTGATGGAGGTGCGAGGTTAGTACTTACCTCATATTGTCCCACTTAGATGGCCCATACTATGATTCTTCATGATTCTTCAGGCTGATCTAATAACTGGCGTAGGGATAATTAACTCGTTCGAACTACAATAGTGTGTGAAAGAAAATACAGTCAGAGTCGCCTTATAGTCGCCTTATAGTGATAATAAGGGCATACGCAATTTTTTCTACTTCGGAGTATCGTGACTCTATCTGACTAAGGATTTTTCTCACATAGTAGATGGGGAGTTGTTTCTCTTGGTTTTCTTCAAAAAGTACTGAACTAACGGCTTGCTCCCCTACACATAGATAAAACAATAATGTCTCCCCTCATTCTGGGGTTGCCAATATGGATAATTCCGCTAAGGTGACCTTCAGTGCTTAGAAAGCGTCTTGGCATTCAGCAGTCCACTCGAATCGGGCTCCTTTTCTTAAGACTTTGAAGAAAGGGTACTTTTTATCTGCCATACGCGATGTAAAACGAGTCCAAGCGACCACTTTTTCTGCCAGAGATTGGACCTCTTTAATAGACCGAGGCGGGGGGGCCATGCCCAACACCGCTTTTACTTTATCCCAATTTACTTCGATCCTTTTTTCTGTGACGATATACCCGAGGAATTTACCAGCATATACCCCGAAAGCATATTTCTGATGATTCAATTTCATACCGAAGCAACGTAGTGTAGCGAACGTTTCTGCCAAGTCCCCATAATTAGTAGATCGCTCCTTAATTTTCTATTCGATTGGCTTGCATCCCGGCTTTAAACTAAGACGATGTACTGCATTTTTTTGGTCGATCCTGGTTAGATATTTTGGATGCCAAGCGAATATGTACATATTTTTTTTTTAACAATTTGATTAGTTCCTCCTGAAAACTTAATTCTAATTCCTTACTCACTTTAGTGATCTTTCCTTCGCCAGGCGCCAAGTCTATTACCATTAGCTCGTCCATCGATTGTACGTGCATTGTCTTGTATTGGGGATAAATAGGTCATTTTCCGTCACCCAGGTCTTCTCGGATCGAGGCTTCTCGTTTTCCTTTTTCTTTCAGCTTCACCATTTCAGTGTAGCAAGACCTTGCTTGAATCTGGTCTCCCCTTATTTCACCTACTGCTTACCCACAAGGAATTTAAGCTTCTAGTGTACAGTAAAAGGTATAACTTGGAAAGCATAGAGCATGCGTCGTTCTATGATGATATTATAAGACGAAGATGGGCCATCCACAATAACAAAATTGACTGCCTGGGTTTGAGTGTAGGGTTCGGTTCCAATAGTGATTGGTATTCGGACTTGCCCTACGGGAACCACAGATCCACCGGTAAAACCGTATATAGGAGTCGTGATAGGGAAAATGGGTAAATCCAACTCCATTTGTTTAACACATTCGCAGAAATACACATCTATCGAACTGCCATCATCCGCAAAAGCGCGTGCCACATCATATCCACCAATGTTGATTGTTATCAAGAGTGGATCATTATGGGGTCCACTTGCTTTGAATGAGTCGTCTGGTCCAAAAGTGATGGTGACGGGACTTGCTATTTGGTATATTTCTTTTATGTTATTTATATTTTTTATGTGCCCGAGGTGCCGTCGTCGAGCTTGACGAGTGTCACCTCCGGTCGGCCCTCCTAATATCATTTGAATGTATCTTCTCTTGGGGGGGGGGGGCGGTGGAGGTGGCAATCTTCCTTGATTACCGAATTGGGAGCCCCTTTTTTTCCTTGTGGCGGGTCTACTTTAACAAAATCAGCTATTTTATTATCTCGTATAAGCCTTTCTACCTCGTCCTTAAGATGGGAGCAGTCGTTGGTTTCGTGACCATACTCATTATGGTAATGACAAAACGTTCCTAAGGTATGACCACGACGAGGTCCTTCTCGAGCGAAACGAGACCATCGTATGTTCGGTCTCTTCTCAATTGAGTATAAGATATTAGAAAGAGGGGCGATCAAGAGTTGATAAGAGCTATACTTCGCCCCTCTTATTTCATCTTATCGCTTGACCGTGGTAACATGGTCCTTACGAGGTGGACCCAATTCTATGTTCCTACGCCCTTCGGTCGGACGGGCCACAGCCATCTATTTAAATTCCTCCATTTTTCTATTGACGGGCTTCTTTGAGGTTGATAAAATGAGAGGAGCGATCCAACAGATTGTCGAAGTCGAGCGAAGGTTCTAATGCCAACGCGTGAAATAATTCCCCGTCGCATAATACGAAGGATAAGGCAGCCATCAGTATCTCATCGCTTATAAGTGGGATCTCCAGAGTGGCCGAAGTGAAGAGTTTTATGTAACTCCGCAAACTCTATATATCTTTTTGTTTGATGCTTTTGTTTGATGCTAACAAGGACTATGAGTTTTTCTTACAATTTTTAGATCTAGCGAACTGATTTACGAAGGTGTTTGCGAACTGGCCTAAGGATATAATGCTACTAGTTGGTAAGAGGCTGATCCAGGCTTGTACGGCCCTAGTGAGGGTGGTGACGAAAGCACGACATTATACTCCTTCGGTCAATTGGTAGAGGGAGATAGTGTTATTGAATCGGCTCAAATGCTCATTTGGATCAGTGGAGCCATTGTACTCGAACGAGATAGCGCGATAGTTTGTTCGGATGGGTCATCAACGATCTTTTTAGAAAATGGACTCATCTTTCCAAATCCGCGTTGAATTCCTCTTCGAAGGGCTTTGAGTTCTTCAATGTCTCTTCGCGAGCTGACGAATAGTTGTCGCATTCTTCTTATCCAACACGCTTTTTTCGCCTCTCTTTGCATCTTACATTCTGGAGGTAACGGACAATAGTTTTTCAAAGCTGCCGCAATCATGGATTGTACCTCTCCTCGGGTGTACGTTTGTTCAGGACTTTTTGGTCTGTTCTTTTTAGAGGAGAGGGGGTATCACCGAGAGTATTTTCAGTCTCATTTGGCCGGGGGAACTTAAACGGCCTCCTATCGAAGTCCCTGGGGGGCATCACCTCACGCAGCATAGATCCAATTTCAGTAGACAGGCAAGGCGGGATCTGAGGGGACTCTGGTGGAAATGGTCCTTTCTTGGTCACAACAGCGTCCATTTCCTTCTGCAAATTTCGCGCGCGTGAGCTTTCTCCTTCCATCTCCACGTCTTAGCTCCAGTTCAATCGCTCGTTCTTCAAGAAAATTTTCTTGACGAATGATATTGTTTGTTTTCCCACACACGGCGCCAATCATCAGACTCTATTCTCTTGTGTTGATGACGATGGTCGTAACGACAGTTTGACTGTGTTGCATTGATCGTGGACCTTGCCAAAAAACTTGATCAATTGTGGTACCAGCAACACTGTGGGGTTGTTCCCCGTGTAGAAGTTCCAATGATCAAGTCAAAAAAAAAGGGCTTTTACTGTTTTATATTAAAAATGAGACTTTCCTTCTAGGATTTTTAACCTAATTTCCTTTCTATTTACGGTCAGCCGCCATTTAATGGGCTTTTCTATTATAGTAAAACAGGTTTTTCCCGTTCTTGTGATTAAGACTCTCGAGTTGAAGAAATGAATATGTAAACTAGGGAAGAATTTCTTACCTCGCATCCCAAAGTAAGTTATAGAGGAAAAAAGAGGCCTTTAGCATCTTTGGCACTTACTTTGGGCATCATCTTTCTTTCAGACCCATTTATTCTTAGGCATGTTTTGTTTGTATGATTCAGCCCAAAGACGAAATGGGCCGTATCAACTTGGTATTGATGAAATCGATTTTCTAGAGCTGTAAAATTTGCAATTTAAGATTTTCCGTAATAATGGTCAGATTTGGTAACAAATGGGTCAACCCAAAGGGGAGAAAGATATGGAATATTATTTTTGGGATTTATTTTTCCATATTGTTAAGGATATTTTTAACACATTAAATATAATAAATTTATTAGAAATTAGTTCTTATTAGTTGGATTTATACATATATATAACAAATTGACCCTAATGTTAATATAAAAACGAGCTTTAATCGACTCAAGCTCGCGATTGCCGCCAATGGTTAATATGATTGTTGGAATGGTTAAATGATCTATTAATCCACAATTCCTTTTTTTTTTCTTTTTTTCTTCTAAATCAAAATGAAAAATTCTAACCACAATATTCTTAAAATCACATAAAACATAAAGATGATCAAGGGTTTGTAGTAGTAACATTGAAAAGGTCCATTTCTTGATCCCAATGCCTCAACATACCTTTCCAGCTACAATCCCTATCAATACACTTATCCAAACGCTCATCCCTAACCCTAATCCTCCAATGCCCGTCCGAATAGTTCGCCTTCTCCGCCTCCCTTCGGTCCCACTCTAGCTGCGCCTTCTGTATCGTCCTCAGCATGCAGTAACCCTGCAACTCCTCCGGCATCCTGTCGTGCACCTTCCACCACCGCGCGTGCGCCACGTCGCTCGCAAACTCCTGCAGCTTCGCCACGTTCCAGTTACAGTCGTAGTCCCTGAAACACACCCACGGCTTGTTCCCCAAGTAATGCAGCACGTGCAGCACCGGCGGCTCCGCCTCGAACAGCCTCACCTTCATCTCCCTCGCCTCCGGACCGTCGCCGGCCCAGAAATTCTTGAGGAAGTTCACGCGCCTCGGGATGCGGTGCCACCACGTGAAGATCTCGTTCAGGTAGCCCTGGTCGCCGCCGTTGTACGATTCGATGCCGTCCACGTGCTCCATCAGGAGGCGGAAGGTGCAGTTCGACGGCTCCACCACCATCACCCCGGAGTTGAAGAGGGGACCGTTGTTGCCCGTGGCGGAGATCTCCGGCGACCGGAACAAAAAGTCGATGTTGCGGAGGATTAGGAGATCGGCGTCGATGAAGATGACCTTGTCGTAGTCCGTCAGCTGCCATAGCCGGAACTTGCTGTAGTTCCACTCGTTGTAGCTGTCTTTCTCGGCTTTGGGGTTTCGGATTCTCTCAACTGTGCGGACCTGCCAACCGGCCAGCTGCAGCCCGGCCCGGTGGTGGTGGCTGATGGTTTCGTCGACGAGGATGACGAGGTCGCGTGTTGAGCCCGACATTCTTAAGCTCTGCGCTGCCGCTATGGCACCGCACACGTAGACGGAAGCAGAGTGCAGGATTGTGGCGTACGCCTCGCGCTGCCGCTTTCTCGTGTGATCCTCCTCCTCTGTATTTTTTTTTTTTGTGTGAAAAGAATAAAGCGAATTTAATACGATATTTAATACTTATATAATAAAAAATAACATAAGAAATTGGTACGGAAGTTCTGATTTCCGCCGATTCTGATCCGGAATTGTCTGATTATGGAACAATTTTTTTATTCCGAATTCTGATCTTTCCATTTTTTTTTTACTGGAATTGGAATATATTCGAAATTGCGATTTACGGTCTGATTTTAATTTTCGAAAATTACACTTATAATACCATTATTATTAAGTATTTAATATTTTAGATGACTAAATATTTGAAAACTTCTGAATTCCGTTTCGTAAATTTCTGACTTTTCCGATATTCTTTTGTAACGGAATTGAAATTAGTTTTTCATTTATGAATAAAATCCAAAATTTCCGAAAGTGTTGATTACGATTTGATCTGTCCGATTTCCACCCTAATAGTAACAAAATATATGGCCGGGACATTTAATTTAATTATACTAATTTCTAATTGGTGAAACGGACTTAATATTTATCATCGTGGACAATGAGTTGAAAAAGGGGACGAAATATACGAAATTTATAGTGATATTACAAGAATAGGATCGAAATTACCTCTACCTCCAAGTTGAAGAGCAAGTTCGCATGATCCAATTGGGAGCCGAAGCTTCTCTCTCAACGAACTCAAATCCGGTTTGTACAACCAAATTTGACCGTCGCGCGCAACAAGATCCTTGCACGTAAACAAATTCGGTATAGGAAAGCACCTCGTCACAAAGAGCACATGCGGAGGATAGCTCCCCTTGCAAGAGGCAGCCACCTCAGCAGCCGCCAACTGTAAATGCAGACGAGTGATATCTCTCGACCAATTCCCTTCACTACGACACGGGAGCTTCACGGCAATGAGATCGAGTCTTTGTCTCGGGATTTCAATGCTGGGCAATGAGGGGCATTTTGGTACTTCATTTTCTTGCTCTTCATCGATCCACTCCGGGTACAATGATTCCCACGTCACGGTTTCGTCCGCATAGTCGAGATGAAGAAGAGTGTGATTTGCGTTGGGGATTACGTTTTTCCAATTACGGATTTCGTTTTCGTTGAAATTCAAAAGGCCAACTCCTTCGATTTTTTTGTAATTATTTTGTGGTAATTGGTTAAAAGCTCTCGAGATTTCTTTCCAATTGATGTCTAAATATGATGTGTACCGATGATCCGAGCCACCCCATATCCACCTGTTCAAAGAATTCAATTCAATTAACCATGATATCTTCTCAAGTATTCTAACAAAAATTTACGACATAAAAAAAAAAGGGTATTTATTAAAGCACAATTGACTTACCGAGAAACCGATTGGGATGTACCGTTGTGATAAAAAATAGTCGGAGAAGAAATGATTGTGAAAAAAACGCCAAGTACGATGATAATGACGAGATATTTGAAGGAGTATAACTTCCATTTAGCGGCCTTGCATGACGTGGCAAATTGAATAGAATTTTCGACACTCCTCACTTTGATCCGCTTCAACTTTCTTTTGTATGCGTCGTCTCTGTTAATACATGACACGAGTGTCGTTACCACTAACAAGGCGAAACAAATATATATATATATATATAATTCTAAACTAAAATTACGATGAATTAATTCCTTGTATCGAGAATCACTAGCGAAAAGAAAACCAATAAAATTACTTACATTCGTAGTCTGGCGTCCATGGTGATTCAGAAACAACCGAACAGTCGTGTTGCGTACGTATTTTATCGATATTGAAAAGAAGATGGTTAGTGTTAGTTTTTCGTGAGAAGTAAAATAATATTAAGGTGGTGATTAGATTCGAAGTATTATAAGTAATGATGAAGAAATTGAAGAGCAAGAATGGAAGATGATAATCTCAATATTCTTCTACCATAAAAATAGTGGACATTTAACATGGGCATGCCATTCACAGGCTATCATGTTTCATAGGAAACGGTAAAAGTTTACCGGTAACTACCATATCCATTCACTGTAATTAATTTGGATACATGAACACATGTGTTTGTGTGTGTGTGTGTGTGTGTGTGTGTGTGTGTGAGAGAGAGAGAGAGAGAGAGAGAGAGAGAGAGAGAGAGAGAGAGAGAGAGAGAGAGAGAGAGAGAGAGAGAGAGAGAGAGAGAGAGAGAGAGAGAGAGAGAGAGAGAGAATCCAGTTGTTCTTATGTTTCATGTGTTGTGGAAAAACTACCAAGAATCATTCTAATTTGGTAAATGAAGATTGACATCATTAGTTTCCTCTTATATATTTGTTGAAATTTCTAATGATGATGATGACGTGGCGCGATCTTCGTCGTCGTTTTATTTTGAACAATCGCATATGTAAATATTTTGTATTTTTTATTTTATTTTTCATGTGCAAAGGATTATTAAAAAACACAAATCTTCTTTTATGAAAAACATTTGGTTTAATGATGATGGGTTGAAATTAATTACACCAAATGCAACAAATAGTTTGGTCAATAATTATTGTCATTTAAGCTTATGAAAATAAATGCATGAAGGCAAGCTGCAGTAATTTTAATTAGGCACCAGTGTTAGACTGGACTTTTCTTGTCACATTTTTTAAGATATATATAACCATAAATTACGGACACCCCGGAGGTAAGATAAAATTACGAAAAAAACTCTCCTTGTTTGGATAATTGCAACCACCCCTCATCTATACATCTTCTTACACATACACTCTTATAGTGTAAAAATTGATCACAATTTTCTACATTTCGTGAAATGTTCTCTAGTTTATACTCGTCTTTGTGCAAAAATGCAGTTTCAGATGCACCACAATCTGATATTTACAAGTCAAAAGACACATCTTATGATCATCTTGTTTCAAAACGTGTAACTCAAATGAGGTAAAACGAGTACAAACTGAAGAATATTCCACATAATCTAGAAGAGATCCCACGAAATGTGACACCGTAAGGGTAGACATGTACGAAGGTTCATAGTTAAGGGCTGGTTGTAATTACCCAAACACGAGGTAATTTTTCATAATTTGACCTCACCCCAGAGCAGGGCCGGCCCTGGGGTGGGGCGAGCAGGGCCCACGCCCAGGGCCCAATTGGCTAGAGGGGCCCAATTTTATATATTATATATATTTTTTATATATAAAAATTTATTGTTTTATTATTAAAAAAACATATTCTTTTATTTAAAAAAATCTTCTGTTATTATTTTTAAATTTAGTATTAAAGTAGACATAAAATTTTAATATTTTATTTAGTCAAACAAAAATTTATTACATATTTCTCTAACATTTGTTTAAAAAAAAAATCGGGGCCGTTGCTCTTGAATTCCCGTATTATTAGTCATACAAATTTTATTCTCGCCCAGGGCCCCCGAATACGCCGGACCGGCCCTGCCCCAGAGGTGACCGTAATTTACCCTATATATAAATATGTAACCAAATTATAGAAATTAAAAACAAATACAAAATATGCCAAATTCCAAAGACAATTCATGTCATAGGATAATGTAACATAATATCTTCATAATTTAACCGAAAATAAATATATTTAAAAAATAAATTAAAAACGAACAAAACCACGACTAGTTCTCTCGAACCTCTCCGATATTCAAAGCAAAAGTAAATGGTTCATACCTCAACTCAAATACACACTTTTTATTGCAAAACATGAAATCACGTTTTTTCGGCAAAGAAAAAATCCGTTCATCGTTTGCACTAAATAGCAAAATTTACTGTCTTAAGTCAACGAAATTATAAAGTTTACATATAAAATAGGAAATGAGCACAACCCCCAAATATATAAATATATCCAAACAAAATTTTCGAGAAAAATGACATACTTCAATTATCAGAATCGGTGCTCCTCTCTTCTTTAGGTGGTGCCATTTGTCTGGTGAGTCGAGATCTCGTCCAGGGATCTATGGCTGCCCTCTGTGGTGGCTGCGGGGTTGGTGGCTTTGATTGCCTAAGTTCGTTTTCTCTATCTATAAACCTGCCATTATTTTCGTTACAAAAATTAAAAATAAATAGAGACTGCTATTATACAAAAAGATTAAAAAATCGTGACAATATAAACTAAAAAAAGAAAAAAAACATACTCGATATAAGCCATAGGTGCAGCATCACCGACACGAATTCGAGTTCGAAGCAATCTTGTGTATCCACCAGCCCTATCTCTGTTATATAACATATATCACAATCACGTGTTCAACAAAAATTTAACAGAATTGAAGCAAAAAAAAAAAAAAAAAGTTGAACGGGATTGGGAATCACTTGTATCGATGAGCCAATTCCGTAAATAACTTGTGAATGACATCATCCCCACGGACAAAGGCAGCAGCTTGCCTTGCAGCGCATAGTGTACCCTGTAGTGATTTAAACAGGTGTCAACATCGCAGAAACGAAACAGATTTTTCCAGAAACACACACACACACACGAGCACAAAAATAATTAAAAAGAAAAAAAAAATGAGGATTCATTCTCTCCAGCTTTTTTTATCTGGAAAAATAATATTTCTTGGACAAGACTTATTACATCATTTATTAAACATATGATGAAGGAATACATAAACATGGAACAATTATACAGTGGACGATGCAAGATGAAACTTGTTACATATAATAAGTTTCGATTAACAACATGTTATTACAGATTGGTCAAAAGAAAAAAAATAGTTTCGATTCACAACATAAGAGATGGGAGAAAGAAGTGCAAATAAATGCTTGACAGAGAGTTGTTACATGGTATGATTTTACAATGAGGTGACGTGTACGATTTTATGATAAGTTACAAATATTCCAAATGATTACTCAGTGGTGTTTTGATGGATTTTTTTGATTGTTAATTCCAGACATCATCACTCTGGAGTTGTAATAACTAGGAGAATCCAGTCAGCATGATGAAATAAATAAATAATTTTTTTTTTCGAGTGTTGTGTAATGCTATCCCCCAAACAACACTCCTTTCTCATGTTCTTTAACTGTGTTGAAAGCTCGAAATAAGGGGAATTTTGAGAAAACCTGAGAGCCATATACTATTTCTTGATACGACAAAAAGAAAAATTCTCAATTTTCTATCAAATTAGTAAATTCGATCTGATCTGCAAAATTCTATCAGTTTATAACTTCAGTCCAATAAGGCTTCAACAGATGCATCCTCGCTGAAAAGCCGACAAATAACTTAATGCAATGCAATGCAATTTTTAATAGGTTCGACAACAATCAAAGTAGAGCATTTGCCATATCATTTCCAAAACAGTAAAATAACATACGAAACCAAAAAATCAGATCATGTAATAGAACACACACCTCTTTCCCGAGTTGTACCATATTATCAGCAAGCCGACGAACTTCCTTTGCCTTTAAGAATTATTACAGGAAATAATTCAGAAAAATATCAGTGTTTAATATTTATTACAAAGCGGAAAGTTCGACCCCGCATCAGAAGAAAAAATAAAATCTCCTAATACAAAAACATTAAAACGAACGCAAAAAACTTCCATATACATGTGTTCTTTAATAAGAGATGTAATAATACTAAGAAATTCATGTTACTATAGACTTCATTGGAAGAGGAAATACTGAGTAGAAAACTAAAAAAAAATTGTTTCAGTAATTTGTTCAATTACCCATATCGATGTTTCATAAAATTTGCAAGAAAGCTGAAACGACGAGGAAAAAAGTAGTGCATTTTCCCATTTACTTTAAATTTGAACACTAAAAACACAACCTTTTTCATTTTCAACCACATTTCATACCCAGACAAGAACAATTATTTTCTAGGTTTAGTCTCAGAGAATGATTTCTTCGAAGATTCCGTATAATTTCCATATACAAATTCACGCAAATCAATTTGCCTACTTAATACGTGACACAAACACATACTTAAAAGAACAAAGATAAATCAAAGCATTACAACCCAGAATTTTTCAGAGCTAAAAAAAAAAATTAGAAACAAAATTAAAATTAATTACCTTCGCCACTGTCGTTTCTATCCGCTCGTGCTTCACTAACTGAGATACCATCGTCCTAAAAAATGCAAATCAATCCATTATTCAGTAAACTTTCTGATACAAAAAAATTCAAAAAAAAAAAAAATCAAAAATTGAAGCAGGTTAATAATACCGAAGCATGGACATTCTGTGGCCTGTGGGGCGATTGAGCTTCCTGAATTTCGTCATTCCCACGTCTTTTTGTGTGTGTGTGTGTGTGTGAGAGAGAGTGTGGCGAAGCTGAAAATCGAAAAACCCTTTGAAATTAGTTCTTTGTTGTTTGATGCGAGAGATGAAAAGGCAGAGAAGAAATGAGTGATATAATGGGCTTCTGAATTGGCCACTCATTGGGTTGGGCCTAAAAAGTTATTTTTCAGCCCCAAAAAATTTAAAATTTCAATTTTCACTCCAAAATAGTGTTTTCCGTTACTTGCTAACGGACATGTTACGGCAGTGACAAAAAGTGTTTAAAATTGAAACATAGGTGAAATTTGTTCACTTTGGAACAAGGGGACCAAAAATGAAATCGGGCCAAACATGAGGGACCAAAAGTGTAATTCTCCCGTTAAAGCTCCATAAATTAATACAGTTGGGACTATCAAAATCCTATTAATTTAGCAAAATATTAACTTATACTTAGATAATTTATACATCAATTAATAACTTATTAATTTATGAAATTATTTTTATTACTATTTTCAACAAATACAATTTTTTTTACGTATGTATTAATCATTCTACCATTAGTTCAATGTACTATATAGCCAGTTTCTCGATTGGAAGCTCTTAAAACAGCAATGGTATTGAACAATTTTCTATTGAGTTTCGAGAAAACTATACAAGAAGTTCGAATCATGCTGTTAAGAACAGTGAGGGACAGATATGAACTTTAACAAAAAAACAAGCGACAATTAAATTATATAATATTAAGCCTTCATAGATCTATATAATATGTATTGTAATATTTAATGTAAGGATTATTTTTTTGCATTATTAATTTATATATTATATGGGGCTTTTTAAAATTTTCGAATGTGCATTATCTTATAAATTCAACGAATCATTAATTTAGCATGTTGTCTCCAAGTCGATACCCAAAAAAAAAATATTAATTGAGGTTATTAATTTATCGCGTATTAATTTACATCGCGATTCCACTCTATTAGATAGAATTTTTGAAATTTGGAATTTATTATAAACTAAGCCTTGCATTGCCAAGATCATAAAATCGAGGGTTAACATACCCTCATCTGAATAATACTATAACTAAATACTCCACATTATTTTTAATCGGTGGAACCCCTCATATTCTCACAGCCTAAAAATATCCCCATATTTCCTCTTTGAAAACACCCCTCACTTCTTTACTGGAAGAAACCAACCACCGTGTCTTCCACCAACAAAATGCACTGTAGCAGTCAAATTATGCTTAAATATGTTGGAAAAAGATATATTAGAAGGAAAATTTGAAAATAAAGTGATATTTGTTTGTTTTATTAGTTAGACATTTTTTACCGTACCAACCACATTTTCACCGTAGCATACACATCATGTGTGGAGGAGAGAGAAACTTTAAAAATTGTTTTGAATTTTTTTTTTTTTTTTTGAAAAGCTAAACAAACACGAATTCGTTTCGTTAAAAAAATAAAAGTGAAATGGGAATGTAACAAAATATATAGGATTGGGATGCACGAGTTGGTTAAATGGTGCGGGGATTATTTGGAGTTGTTCAAACAGGCGCACCTCCCGACCCTCCCTCTCAAGCAACCCACAAGCCATCTCACTTGGCAACTCCCTTCCACCGGTATTGTCAAAGGTGAATTTCGATGCAGATTTACCGCCAAACTGTGACTTTTTTTAATATTTCGATGGTGGCGAGGAATTCTCAAAGGCGCACGTTGTGGTGGAATGTCGAGAAGATTCCGGAAACAATTCGACCGGTCGTGGGCGTGGCCCAAGCGGCACTCAAAGCAATCCAAATAGCAGCATTTCGAGGGTGGTCAGTCATAATCGTGGAGGGCGACTACCTTCAAATTATTAGAGCGATAAGAAGAAAATCTCCCTCTCACATCGTATAGTACTTTCTCTGGAAGACAATAGAATCATTTCGACTAAGTTCAGTGGTTGCTCGTTTTCTTTTCGTTTTTGACTGTAACAAGGGTTTTGGCGAATTATGCCTAATAATATTTAAACATTGTAAGTTATATTGCCCAAAAAAATAAAAATGTGAGGCTTTATGGAATTAGTTCAAAATACTGCACAGAATTTCAAAAAGTTCATTTCATGATAGTTTTTAGTTATTTTTCAGTTGCTTATGTTATTCTCATATGAACCAGAAACCAAATTCGTACATACATAGAGGATATTTTTTTCCTACATGAGATCTAACATTGTACATAATATTCATACACCTCATAAACTGAAGTATGCATAAAAACAAATTTCCTTAAACTTTCAAGCTGTAATCCAAATATCAAGATATACTGTGGTCTGGCATTAAATTAATGCAGGCTATTGTAATAGCTTAACATAAAAATTAAAAAAAAAAATAATAAAAATAAAAAATAAAAATAAAAAATAAAAAAAGTGCACTAGTTAAATATTCTACTGTAAAGAAAATCCAACTATGTAATTCTTAATGCTCCTTAAATGGCTAGGGGGGCATGATAAAATTAATTTTTGAAAAAAGAAAAGAAAAAATGGTTCCTCAACTGCTATCAGGAGGGGTGTAAACGAAAATGAAATGTGCGACTCTTTGGACAAGTCACGGAAAGATTTCTGCCACAAGACTCGGACAAAATTATGGGTTTCAAGTATTGGAGTCAGACGAAATTGTGGGTGGGATATTCGTGCTCGTATCCATTATAATCATAGTAGAGCCTTTCCCCCTTGGAAATATCGCGCGTCGCAACCAAAAGCACATGACATGCACCACCAACATTATATCTCACGCATTTCACGTTCTGCTTCTTCCGCCCTTCCCTGCAAAAAAACGTACAAGTGACCACAATTAATACTCGATTAATTAATAACCTCGCTTAATTAATAATTTTGTCCTGTCCTGGCTCGGTAAAAATGTATTAAATTATTATTTCGCTGAATTAATAGAATTTTGTCGGCTCCGACTGTATTAATTTATAGAGGTTTAACTGTATTTCCATTTCACTATGGAGAAAACTATGTTTCGGGAAAATAATTTAAGAAATAAAGTAATGTTTGTTTGTATATCCAAATCATGTCTAAAGATGTTGGTAGAAAGGGATTTTGGAAGATGAATTTGAAAAAAAATGAAGTGACGAGCATAATTCGATTTGAAAAGCTTAACGAGCATAATTTTATTTTAGAGGAAGAGTGGCAAGAAATTTCAAAAGAAATACTTACAGTGTATGATTGTTTATGCCGCTAATAAAACGAGCAATGTTTCCACGCTTGTCTGGGCAGACGATAAGACTGTCAGAAAGATCAGCTGTTAGAAGAAGGGTCATCAAACTGTCGCAGTCATCTTGTTCCCGATTTTTGATATAGTCCACATCGCCTGTATATTCCGCAATTAGCGTCATGTCTTTTATCGGACCATCAGCTTCTACCGTATATCTGCAAACACCATTGATAAATTGATTGGAAACTATTACTTTGAGAAAAAAAATTGATATTTTTTTTCGGAAGTGAAAAACTGATTCCAACTCCGTTCCAAAAGAAATCGGTATTCCGGAAATTGGAGTTAAAAAAATGGTTCCAAAGTCGGAAAATTTTTGATCGGAGTCGGCAGAATTCGGAAATTTCCAATTTTTTTCGGATCGGAAATTTCCAATTTTTTAGTAACCTAAAATATAAAAAATGCATAATAATACTTATAGTATAATAAGTATAATCGCTGGCAAATATCGGAAATTAAAATCGGATTGAAAATCGGAATCTCATACATATTCAAATTCTGATCCAAAAAAATTCAGAAAAAATCGGAATCGCAATATTAGGAAATTGGAATGAAAATATTGTTCCGAAATTGGAAAATTTCCGATCGGATTAGGCAGAAATCGGGAATTCCTTTCCAATTTCCACCGCTAGTCCTACTCTACCACTTGTACATGCAATAAAAGAGAGTAACACAGAAATAATAAATACCCTTCACACGAATCAAAGGTGACGATAAGCGGCGGATATTCGCCTCTCGTTTGCATAGCCCTACACAGCTCCAAAGTCTCAGTATCTTCTTTCGAAAGCACCTGAAAAATAATTAATTAATTAATATACAAAAAAAATCAGAGCATGTTAATTAGAATTAAACATCGTCGAGAAATTCGGGTAATAATAAGAAATAAACCTGCATGCCACCGTTTTCAAAAATGGCTTGATTAGCTGAAAGAGGAGCCATGTTAGGCATGTAAGTAAGTTGATTGCTAAATTCCATGCGCTGAGCTGTCAAAGCCGAGGCGAGAGACGCCATCTGTACAAGCCTTCTTCCTGGATCTTCCAACGGGACGTATGCTAACAATCTCCTGCGCTTCTTGTGGAATACTAACGTACTCGCACGTCTGCGCCGTTTTTTGTTAACTTCTATAAATGCGACAAAAATGAGAAAATACACGTGTAAGATTACAAAAGACTCGTGATAAACGACAAATGTTGGAATGAATATCTTTTTTTTAACTAAAAGGAATTTATTGGATCACAAAAGATCTTATAAACCTCGTTTCCTTGACCTAAAATATCGTCATTAATTTATTCCTGCTAAAAATGATGGCTATCTGTATAGATAGATATAGCTGGCATTCCGATAACTAATCTTTTACAGTTCACTACCATTTTTAGGGCATTGCCATTTTTACTGTTGTCGTCTGAGTAAACAACAGACGAAGGAATGGCCTTATCATGCTTGTCCATCGGGGATATTAACAACAAACAAGGTTGTAAGGGAAAGGCAATTGTCTGTACGAAAATCCTAAGTTCACATGATTAATCATTTCAATGTTATTCATTAACGAAAGATTTAACTAACTAGATGGCGTGGAAGATACGAAATAAAGCAAAGTACGGATTATGCCATTCCTACAATAAATTCTGAAACCATTTGTGAGAATATCGATATTACAAAAACGAGACTATCAGCATATTAAGACAGTTGAGACTGAATTAAGACAAGTATGATGCTCAAATTCTGTGGAAAGAAACGTACAGACAAGACAAAACAGATAAACAAGTCGAACATAACTAGACTCCATAATCTCGTAGGATACTCAATCAAGTTAAACCTCTATCCGATAAACAAATCATTTAGCAAAAGATACACGATCATAGCAAAATAATCAGTGAACATTTCAAGACATCATAAATATCGAGACACTAAACTGCAATGCAAGAAACTCTCTCTGACAATGATGTAGGTTTTTATAATTTTATTAAGGTAACATTTCAAGAAAAACGTGTCTAGTTATTAGATTTGCAATCGAACACCGAAAGTTCGAAGAAGAAAAATCCATGAAATGATTAATGATTGTGATGAAATGATGGTAGGAACAATATTTATACCCTGAAGAGAGGCGCATTTCCCATCAACTTCCTCGGATTTCTGAATCCTGAAAAAATCGACAATTTTCTTCTGCGAAAAACCTGCATAAATTAAATAAAAATGGTTTAATAATAATAAAAAACAAAAACAAAAAAATTGACACAACCTAATCACCTAACCATCACCATTTTCACACACTTAAACACATATGATCGCACACACATACACACTCTCTCAATAGAATCATGTAATTTATGTATGTGTGTATATTTGTATGATAACTGTTCCTTCGAATACAGGAGTTGTATAGATAGATATACACATGTGCATGAATATAAAGATTGGATTTTTTTTTATAATTTTTTTTAATTTGGTAGTACTTTTGATTGGGCGAATTTTGTTATCGGAGCAGGCCGGGCAGAACCACGGCCCGATTGGAACTCGGGCCACGATTGGGCGGACGCAGAGCATGTGGAAGCCTCTGTCACACCTATCGCACAAAAGCAGCTCGTCGGCTAGCTCGCCGGAGCCGCATTGCTCGCAGGCCACCCGGCTGTAGTAATCTCCGCCGTCGCCGCCATCGTCACTCTCCAACAGCACCACACGTTTGGCCACCCTCATGATCTCCTTAATCGACCGGTATTTCTGCCTCCTCCTCGGCTCAGCGGCGCGGAGCTGCAGCTGGATTCCATGGGACGCCGGAATTGACGACGGCGCCATGTCGAAATGCCGGAATTGGAAATAAAATTGAATTCCGCAAGGGCTATTTCGAATTTAAAAAAAAAAAAAAAGAATTCAGATTATTAACGTTGCTAATTCTGAGTTGTCTGTCTCGGCTGAAGTTTTGTAAGGGGGGCGAAGGCGCAGGGAATAGGAAGAGGTGGCACTACGATGACGTGGCCATGGACAAATGGAGGGGCTATCGTGCACGGCTGAATTAACACTTTGGTGTGCGCCCCTTTTCCAATTTTGTTTTTTTTTTTTTTTTGGGGGGCTAATTTAGCCGTTTGGGGTTCGTCGAGACCCCGAATGAGAAATATTATAAACGGACTTTCATTTAATTCGTTTAATTGTTACTTCGTACGTGGTTTTGTGATTATTTGTATCACTATTGATCTCGGATCACTTGAAATGAGTAGTTCAAAGGTCGATTTAGAGTTTAGTTTAGGAATGCAGGTTCGAATGTCACGAGTTTTGCGTTGGTCTAAGTATATGATGCTTGTTCGTCTTTCCTGCAAAACCACTTAGCACATTAGGTGACACGCCAATGTGTTCCCTAGCGATTACACTCCGACACTTAAGTCAGATGATGTCGCGTATTGATAATTAATTCAATACTTGAAAGCAGTTAAATCAAATAGAGATCATGTACCTTAAAATGTTGTTTATACTGAAGATTAAATAGATGAAAGCTCACTATAACTTTTTACTATTTAATCAATGTGGAACGGTGATTCATTTCATTAAAATAAGGAATAAGTCATATCAACTATATTTGCTAATCTCTAAGATTTAATTGAAAAGTTTCCTTCTCGTTTAGAATTGTGAAAGATTACTCTCGAGTCGAACGCGTGTGTTCATAGCATATGGATATGATAGAAGCATGTATAGTCAATATGGATTTTACCCTTTTTTTAACGTAAAAGGACACACTATATTAGTACTTAAAATTGCGAAAGAGAGTACAAAGTTCATTATTGGAGATTTTAATATTAAATGATACATTTTACTAACTACTTAAACTTTTGGTTGAGTTAGTCATTCAACATGGTATCAAAGTTAAACCAAATGAAGGATCTTGAGTTCGGAGTGGTAAAATCAAAGGCACATTAGTATTTGAATACAATGATACACACCCTTCTTAGTAAGGCTATCAGCCACAATATTTCTCTCTTTGTACCTAAATCTTAGATAGACATCATCAAAGTGATTGATCGTTTTCCACGAGTCAAGTTAGCAATATATGGATGATGCTGAGATGATCTTCCTTAGTGTCGAAACATGAAATGAGAAATTTAGAATCGATTTCAATAATAATATTAGAAATTATATCCAAATCGATCCTTAGCAAGTTTCAGTCACGTACACGACGGTAAAACCTGTGCTTTGTTGTTAGTGGATAAGCCAATATTGATAGCAAAACCCGAAACAAACTATACATAATGGATTCTAATAACACCTCCAATACCAACAATCATTCGATTATTGTATGAAGAGCTATCAATATTGAGCTTAAACCAATCCACGGGTGGATACTGTCATATAATCTTAAGATAGTAAATTTTACCCGAGGTTTAATTTGTTTAGTCTTATAGGCGGAGTATTGAATATTCTTCCACATTTGGTTGTATTTACATGTATGTTTTTTTTAACGGACTCGTTGCGCGCTTTCGAAATAAGCCTGAACAAATGGAGGGTTATTTAAAATAGGCTAGCGTAATGAAGCAACTGTGGGTTACAACAACAAAGAGAGTAGATGTTAGACTCCAAAATCTTACGTTTGCAAAGAAAATCAATTGTACGTTGGAATACTATTACACGTAAGCTTCACGTATATAAAATTAATTCTTGACCCAACATCAAGATTTTATTCCAAGAATTGTTCCAGCAAATTCCACCGCGAGGAAAGCTGCTTTTGCTTCTGCCGAAGAAGGATCAAGAGGCTGCATAATATGAGTTGAAGACCAACCGACACACTCCCCGGAATGAGTTCTTGCAATAACACCAATGCCAACCAATCCATCAATCAAGTTGACGGCCGCATTGAAGTTTATCTTGATCATGTCTGAAGACAGGGACTTCCAGTGAATATCCACCATAGTTCTCGGTTGTCTATTTTTGAGTACATTGGTAGATGGTTGTCTCAACTGCTCCTCGTATTTTTGTACAAATAAGATAACTTCCCTAGCTTCGTTGAACTCACCATCAAACACATATCTATTGCGAGCAAACCATATAACCCAACAAATCAACACGCATCTCTCGAAAACTATACTATCCGATCCGTCGATTTTCATGTGCAATAACCATTCACCTAGCTCACAACCATTCCATCTATAGACATACCACGGGATATTACTTAACGGCCATATTTTCCTCGAGTGAGAACACGTAAGTAAATAATATGGAACAGAGAGATTAATATATAAATTTAAGCTCTCTTCAAACTATGGTCCAAGAACATGACAATTGTCTCATTTTGAAATCGACATATGTAATCTTACGTGGCGTCCTACGTGTTGCTTACATGTCCTTACATATCTTTTTTTTTCCCCCAAAATTATTTTATTAATAGTCAACGATTGTTATTTCATAAATTATTGCTGATTTAGTTGATTACCTAAAATTCACTTGCCTGTTTCTGTATTATGATTATTTCATTTATTTGATTTGTTTATATATTTATGTTATATTTGACTATCTTATCTTATTGGCAAATTGAATTTATTACATTGATAATGGTATTAATTCAGCAAATCGCTACGATATAATTATGTAAGTACATCATATGGTTGTAAATATATCATAATTGTGATGTGTTTGACTTTATTTATGTGATTACTTGGTAATAACATTTATTAATAAAAGCAAGTAAAAGGCAAAAGTAAATAATTTTGGATATCATATTGAAGAATTAATATGATATGAAGATTTGATTTTTATGGATTTTCGGATTTAATAAATTATCTCGTTATTTCATATTATAATTATTACGAACAATATTTGTCTCTTTAACAATTTAACATGATGGTATTATCTTAATTAATGTTTTAAAAAATAGATAATTGCATTTATTGCTATGACAAATAAAAGGCAAAAATTACTAATTTTGGATTTGTTATTGAAGATCTGATATGATTTGAAAATTTATTTTTTTCGGATTTTCTGATTTAATACATTATTTTCTTGCAATTGATTTTATATTATAATTATTACAATTAATATTTGTTCCCTTAACATTGTGTTATTACCTTAATTCATAATTGTTAATATTTTTGTTTCGTTTTATTATTTGGAATTTTTTTTCGTGTTGTTCCTAATAGGGCTGGAATTGTTTAACAAAATCTAATTACTAAATGAATGCCGAACTACCGGTTACAACTACATTTGGTATGGTATTAGTATCGCACCATAATCTTATGGTACGATAGCGGTGTTGTATCTTTAATACCATACTATATTTTATATTTTCAAAATTAGTTAATAAATATTTTCTGTTATATTCTTAAATAATAAAAATATATAATCAACAAATATTATATATAAATCAAAAACATTTGGTATGGTATTGGTATTGCACCATTATCTATATTTAGAGGCATAAATCCATATTTTTTTTTACTATTAGGGATAACCCCTTCATTAAGGTTAATATCTTATTTACCCTTATTATATTTAAAAAAAATATAATTAAATTATTATTGCTAAAGTAACTCCCCTAAAATAACTCCCCTTAAATCTCTCACCAACTCCCCCAAATCCCTCTCTTAATACAAATCACGCATTTTTTTTTTATTCTTTTTACAATCTTTTTTTAATTTTGATTTAAAAAATATATTTATTTTTTTTCAATTTTCATTTTTGTAATTAGTTTTTTTACCGCAAGTTTAATAAAAAATTGAAATCCACTACATACATATTGAAAACCACTATAAATTCATCTTTTACGATCTTTTTGTAATTTCGATTAAAAAAATATATTTATTTTTTTTCAATTTTCATTTTTTTAATTGGTTTTTTACCGCAAGTTTAACAAAAAATTGAAATCCACTACATACTCATTGAAAACCACTATAAATTCATCGAAAAACACTATTCGATTAACGTAGAAATTAGTGTGATATAATGCACTACAAACATATCGAAATCGAATAAAAATTTACATAATCCACTACGAATTAATGTAATCCATTACAAAATTATCATAATCCACTACAAAGTTATAAAAATCCACTTTATAGGTTAAAGCAATCCACTACAAATTAACGTAATATATGGATTCGTAATCAACTTTAATATTAATATAATGCACTACAAACGTATCGAAAATCGAATAAAAATTTACATAATCCACTACGAATTAACGTAATCCATTACAAAATTATCAAAAAATCCACTACAAAATTATAAAAATCCACTTTATAGGTTAAAATAATCCACTACAAAATTAACGTAATATATGGATTGAAATCCACTACGTACTCATTGAAAATCACTATAAATTTATCGAAAACCACTATTCGATTAACGTAGAAATCAGTATGAAATTATCGTAATCAACTTTAATATTAATATAATGCACTACGTACAAACGTATCGAAATCGAATAAAAATTTACATAATCCACAACGAATTAACGTAATCCATTTCGAAATTATCAAAATCCACTACAAAGTTATCAAAATCCACTTTATAGGTTAAAGTAATCCACTACAAAATTAACGTAATATATGGATTGAAATCCACTACATACTCATTGAAAAATCACTATAAATTCATCGAAAACCATTATTCGATTAACGTAGAAATCAGTATGAAATTATCGTAATCAACTTTAATATTAATATAATACACTACAAACATATCGAAATCGAATAAAAATTTACATAATCCACAACGAATTAACGTAATCCATTACGAAATTATCAAAATCCACTTTATAGGTTAAAATAATCCGCTACAAAATTAACGTAATATATGGATTGAAATCCACTACATTCTCATTGAAAACCACTATAAATTCATCGAAAACCACTATCGATTAACGTAGAAATCAGTATGAAATTATCGTAATCAACTTTCATATTAATATAGTGCACTACAAACGTATCGAAATCGAATAAAAATTTACATAATCCACTACGAATTAACGTAATCCATTACGAACTTATCTATTTGCCGACAAAATATAGGGGGAAGGAGACAAATCGTTCTGCGTTTTGGGAAAACATACCAACTTCGTAA